TGTTACAATACTTAAAATTCGAGGAAATTTAAATTTAGCTCATAAAGGCTATGCAACCTTTAACGATTTAAGGTACTTCCAAACATTTTGGATGAAATGACCAAGTTTTTATTTTTGACTGAACAGTCATACAAGCCATATTTTGATGTTAAAACCTTCATAGGTTACACAATGCCGTTTTCTATAAACAAAATCACTTAGAATTGAATTCTTGTCCAAAAAGTGTCCAAAAATGAGGTATTTACTAGCTACACATTTTCACATCAGTTATGGTGAGATAGTGATTAAAACACACATCACTTGATTTTTATATAGCTGGAGTACAATAACGCGATCCTGAAATATTATAAAAATAACTCATGTACTTGTAATTTGCTTCCAAATTCCTCCAAAATTCATCACATGGCAGCCATTGTTTTTGAAAGACTACTTTTTTCCTTCAATGTATGGTGATCTGTTTGTTCCTTCAGTATTGCACTACGGTAGCTTACTGTTCAAACAGTAACATTATTTATTTCAACTTCAGTACTTGACAGTACAAAAAAAAACATTAAGAATAAAATTATGATGTCTCTTCACTTATTAATTTACATTTAGGACATTATATTCTGACATCAAATTATATTTACCATATGCTGAGAGGGATTTTCAATTTGGTGTAAATCTTGACTATATGACTATATCACTACCAACCATACATCATCTACAAAACTTCTCAATTATGTTTGATCTTAAATACATCTGTCCATGTACCTTTTTGGCCTTTTTATACCTAAGGATGGATAAAAGTTTCGTTGAATCTTTCAATAGAATTATTACCATACTAGCATATACATTGCCACCTCTATTGAGAGTCAAATCGGAAATTTTGAAACCAAATGATTGTATACATCAATCTTGCTCTGAATCACTTTTTCTAATGTTCTTCTGTGTGGTCTATAAAAGCTGTAGGCCTAAAAAAAATTTGGAAGCAGAATGCCAGAAATAATTTCAAAACAAGGAGAAGAAGATATGATTCCTACTTTCAGCACAACCGAAGTAAACAGTACAATAAAAAAAATGTTATTATACGCCTAGTTGAGAGGTTTTTATGAATTCCTATTTCTCCTGGTCTGTGCTTGTGACATGCCTGTATCACCATAGAAAGTTCATGTCAAACATTAATTTTGTACATTTCGTAATTAGAACAAATTTATAGGGTGTAAAAATTGGAAAATAAAACATAAAAATTGTTTAGAAATAAAAAAAAATATTTTTGTAAAAGACAATTTGGTCGGTATCTATGGATTGCCCCTCACGTGGTATCTATTAACAGTCCTAGGGTGCCTAATATTAATATTAATAAAAACTATCTACTTACCTTGATTTAATAAATTATCGACTATGGATGATACATAATCATTTTCACAAATTGTTGTATTAGATAAAAAACCAACCTGTGACACTTTATAAATTTACAGAACTTTGCTTGGAAAAACACGATCAGTTTTCAGCTGGAACCTAATAACCTTTTCGGATGTAGTGGCGAACAGAAAATAGTTCCCGCGAACATTGAGAATATTTTCAAAAAATTTGATCGATTTATTTGATTTCGAGATTTATTTGCATGTTAAACATAACAGATTTTTTCATAATGATTCACACCCTTCCCTTATCAAAAATCAATCATGTATTCAAAAAGGCGAAGGATCAAACGTGCAAGACGATTTGTAAACAAAGTGCAACCCTGTTGTGTAAAAAAGTAAATTAGAGGTAGGAAAATCGAAATTTTTCCAGAGTAATTATATGAGAGGAAAGGGCTAATAACTATCTTTTATATACAGTTGTTTTGATTTCACTTCAATAATATCATGAAAGATGACATGCATTTTTCTGTCACTTTATCGAGTGGGGCTGACAGCTGATGTCCGCCATTTTGTGTCCATCATGTGACAAATCTGAATAAAATGCTGGATAGCTCGAATCACGATGGTTAATGTCAGAAAGTAAGATAGAGATATTGTATATTTGTGTTCAAAGCTATTGATGCAATGTGTTTTACTCTATGTTAGCCATTTATAAAAGAGATATTGTGAAGCTAGTAAACCTCTCATTTTGCCTTTTTTTGAGTTCATTGAGTGCATGTGGTAATTGGAGTCTCGCAAAATTCTGATCTTAACAATTCATGTCATATTTTGAGTCCACGTATCTAAGGCCCACATTCCCCTCATTGAAAATTTTTTTTTGGCATGTAAAAAAAAAGGCTGAGGTTTGGAAGTACCTTAACAACAGATAGTAGAAAATACAGTCGCCGTCGCGACATTATCTCTACTCACAAGTAAAATTTAAAAAAAAAACCAACATGGCGCGCTTACTTTAATTCACGTTCAAACTTGCCACGATGGGGTTGCTAAACATTTAAATGTTGAATAAGAAGAAAATTTATTTATTGTTTCGTTTCGTCATACGTAATAAAAACATTCCAACTTTTTATTGCAGTCTGCATTAGCGAATATCAAGTCTCAACTGAACTGGTGGGATGGCGCCTTCGACGGCAAGATAGCTATTTCGCGAACTCAGATAAGACCTGTCTACGACAAGGATATATCTCGTCGAAGCTGTACCAGACAAAGCGGGGCTGGATGATGGAAGCTAAGATAAGATTGCGTCATGCTCGACGAACCTCCCCACAAGTCCGTGATAACACAATATTTGCTGCGCGGTGCTAAGATTTGACAAAGTGACAACTTTGGTCTAATTGCTCCAAAAGATTGACAGTGCGAGTTCCTATCTATAGCTTACAAAAAATCACGTGACAGTTCTATGATCCAAATTATTTGGCGAAGCAAGTTCCTATCTGTGGCTAATGGAAATCACGTGACTTGCCAAACACACGGTGGTAAGCTCTTTGCCAGCAAACACTAAAACTCGAACGTCAGCAAAGGTCAGAACGAACGATGTCGGTAAAATTACGTCACAGTCATTATTTTGTGTCATATTTTACCTGCTTTGGTATTTAGAACATTGTCATATGTAGAAATCACTTGCTTTTGGTAAAAATGTCTTCCTTTAATAAGTTATAATCACAGAGGTGCAATGAGAAATTGCTCAAATAGATGAGTGAGTCCCGAGGATTTAAGTGAGTTAGGGCACCTCCCATGGGATTTTTTTTGTCAATATCTTTAATCATTATAAATGTGTGTACTCTTTTATATTTGTCCCTGCCTACAATGAGCGTATATGCAATAAGTATTATCTTATCTTATGTTCTCTTGCATTCTGAGAGTCATCCGCGAGTCAATTTCATGGAAAGATCTCAGCATAAGTTTTGAATCATTTTATATTATGTGCATATATATTTTAGATTTTAGATAGGCTACTTACTTTTGTACATTTGTTTGTAAGTTTTTCTTTGATTTCTTTGGTTTGATTTAACCTTAGTCCCTACGGTAGTCACCCAATCTCTATTCAGTTTTCCCATTGTTGTTCTTTTATTTTGCGCGTTTGTATAAAACTTTTGTGCGCTGGAAAAAGGTTGCTACTTTATGTTCGGTCATGATAATAGAAAGCAGACGATAAGTTTTGAAGCGAAGTTATTTTTGTTCTGGGCGAATAAATAAATAGGTTATTTTGTGTGCCTGGTCCGTGACATAAAAATAAGGTACGTCTGTAGCTTTTTATTTATAAATCTGATCTTATATCCTCATTTTTGGTAATATGTAGATACCGTAACTGAATTCAATGATATTGTATTAAGTGATATTTCGTTTGACCTTGACCAGCTTGATATTTCTCGAGCACGGGTACTATATTACTGAGTACTTTTCTACTTTACTCTACTAGTTCTCAACTTTACTGACTCGTAAATCTACTTTACTAGTTCTCAACTTAACTGACTCGTAAGACTAGGACAAGACGAAATTCTTGAGAAATTAATTCACAAACGTATTGAGCGCCTTTTTTAAAACTTTTTATGAACCATTTAAAATTCTCTCAAACAAACAAGCGACGTTTGAAAAGAAAACCAACCTCGAACAGCGTCAGGTAAAATCTGTTGAAGTTGAGGTAAATAATATTCCCTAGCGTATCTTCAACTTAACTTTCAGTCTCACTGACCCACTCACTCTTACTGCATATCAGTTACAGGCCTAAAGTTATAAATAGAACTCGATGCTTACAATGAATTTAGACATGCATTTTTTCGTTGTAGTCTATTTTCTTTCCTTTTTTTCTGGATTACTCCCCCCTCGTATACCGATTGCTTTACATCGTATTGGCTATCGGTGTTAAACCTACAGTACTGAACATGCTACACTGACTTGGGTGCCATGTTGCCGAAAATGTTGTCAATGTGTAGGCTACAGTATTTTAGACAGAGTCGCACTTCCTATTTAATTTTTTTTTTAAATGTCACCAATAGCATTGATTCTTCAATGTATTTTGTTTAATATTGTTTGTTTGATTACTAGACGATTTTCATTATGAATTCTGTAAGAGTCTGCCTGTCTAAGGGTTAAGCAAAAGTTTATTCTATCTGCAATCTACAATAACAATAGGCCTACAATTAGATCTAGTAATGTTAGTACATGTAAGATAGTCTAGTCTCACCATTACTCCAGTCAATCTGGTGCTGACGGTCACTTGTTTTCACCACCACCCTCAATACAATTTTCAACCAAATTTACCTCTATCCAACAATTTTCTTTTCCATGAACATAATTATGTCCCCCTCCAATCAGCAGCCAATTGTCGATAAATTATACTCACAGGAAATTACTATATTAATTATTGAGATATAATATATAATTTTAATTTTTCAATCTTGTAACAAGCTTGTTAATCCTATTTGATTAAAGGCATGCTGAATATTGATATAAATATTGGCCAAAAACCAAACTGGCCAGATCTAACTACTAACTACCACGACTACCAACAACTACCTAGTTTGCGATATCAGCATCCACTGGAAGCGGATTAGAGTGTAGTTTACTTTGTTTCACATGTATTTGTTACTTTCAGAAATGACTTGGAGGGGAATTTATTTAAAGGCTTCAGGTTCCAACCCAGAATACGAGTTTGTAGAACCTTATACAGCATCTGTAATCTTCTTCTTGATAACAGCGTCTACTGGTATTCTTCTACGAGGATTAACCAAATTTGTAGTTCCAAGGAAATTCCAGGAATATTTATTGGATTTTATAACGACAATGGAGGCTTGTGCCTATTTTTTCGAAAACAATTTTGTATTTAAGTACTACGGAAGTGTTTGGTTTGGTGTTTGTGTAATGATCCAACTTTTTGTGTGCGCAAGAACCTTTCAAGGATCTTCAGAAAATCCAGTTCAAGCTCTCCAGGCACTAGTTCAAGGACAAATTGGGTATATCAAAGCAGGAATTAAGATATTTATTCAGAGTCTTGCCGGTCTTGCTTCTTACCGTCTTGCAAAGATGATCTGGTCGCTGGATTTGATCTCAGACCATCACGAGAGATATTACGAGACCTCATGTGTATCGGATCTACAGGTTACTTTGATCTTAGGATTCCTGATTGAAATGGGAGCCTCCTTGTCCGACTGTTGGCTAGGAATGCAGACGGTTACCAATATGTCCCTCCTCAATGAATTGATAAAAAACCTCAATGGGAGTCTTATGATTATCATAGGTAAGTTCATTGACCTAGATAGTTTCTGTTTTCAAAATTTCTAATCTAGCCCGTGTCAGTTTTTTTTAATGAAATTTGTTTTAAATAGATATAATGAGTCAATCTAATCTGTCATTAGAAGTAATGACAGCTTAGTTGTACTCATTATATCTATTTAAAACACAGTTACTGGTATTTTGTTTTTGTTATTGTTTGTTATAAAGGAACATAGAAGATATGTCGTCCTATTCGGTTGAGGTTTTTTTTCTAATTTGGATCAAAAGATGGTTTTAATCTGTTGAACTTAAACGAAAGACATAATTTTAATTTCAGGTTTGAGCTCAACAGGGATGTATTTCAATCCGGCAATGGCGCTCGGTCACATGCTTGGATGTCAGGGAACCAAAGCTTGGGAACACTTTATAGTGTATTGGTTTGGACCATTCCTGGGTGGCGTAGCAGCGTTATACATGGATAAAGGTATGCATATCGATGTAAAACTTGCTACTGAAACGAAGAAGAAACAACAGTAAAGAAATGTTCCCGAACTAATTCAGAGTTCCTGTAAGCAATTGTTTTACGCCCATTTCCAGAAGCTATTCGCACACACATAGTACGGTGACTCAAATAATCGGTTTTAAGAGTCTGATTCCATGCTCCATAAGCAAAAGTACATTTGAGATGTTAACTTTATTTTGTAGCTCTTTACATTCGTATCCCTTACGGATCCATCCACTGGAATTGGAATGAACTGAAGTGTTATTACATTGTTGCTCATCTTTCCACCGATCTTTCTCATTCTATATTTTTACCACTGCCTTATTAAATTTATACATAATATTTAAATAAGATGTATTTATGACTGGGGGTTGGTGACGTACCTTTTATATGTCCACATGAACGTTTCGTTCTTATCTGTTATGTTTACACATATGGGAAATGTGTTTCTTTGCTGGAACTTTTCCCTTCTTCCCAGCGACCTGAAAATTTCAGGACCATTATTGATGTTGAGCAGACGACGATTTTCATTTTGACACTCGAAATGAACTTGGCTTTGTGCACGTCATGCCCGATTTGTTTACTTTCATTTTAGTGACCTGGGTCAAATGATAACAGATATAAGCTAACATATGATTTATCTCAAATACCTCAATATCTGCCTTTATACTTTCTAACCAAAGTGTGGACTTGTATATCCGTCGTATACCTGTCCGAACGCCAGTCAACATTTTTTGGTGATATATCAGCTTTCACCCGGTTTCGTAGAATTAGGCTTGAACATGTTGTGACCGCCGGAATGCTCAAATTTTTTATAAGCAAGCAGTCAATTTTCTTTTGCATTATAAGATGTAAGTTATCAGCTATGATTCTATTATAACAATGTTTCGATTTGAGTATGTTATTATCTGAACCTGAACACTTCAGCATTTAGCAAGATAGATGGAATTGGTGTGTGAGTTCAAAGATGACGATTTTTAGAGTTGTTGTCCTTGGCTTAGTAAAGATATAGTCGAAATACCTCCAGGATTAAGGAGCGCCTCATATGTCTGTGAAATAGATGCATTCCTTTATATCCGAAACTCTCTATTTTATACGTTACTTACGAAGAAAGGGTACCCGATCCAGGAGCACACAGAACATGTTAAACCTCGAACTGAATTAGAGTTAGAAATATCCCAAACAATATGTTTTATTGTTTACAGATCATATATCAAAATAAAGAAAGACAAGCCTGTTTCTTATCATTCAACTTAACCGACCATTCATCAGACAATTTTATCCTAATCTCCATTTAGCGCCTAGAAATTGACCTGCATGCAGATGAAACTCCGTCGAGCTAGGGAAGTTCATTGGATTGGGATACTTATTACAGCAAAACCGATAGGATTGAATGTTCATCATAATTAAGATCACTTTCTTGTACCGCTCAATGCTGCAGTAATCGAGCAACTAAGATAGTCAATGCCCATTTTAAGAGTCTAAAAGAAAATTCCCTTGTGTTTATAAACAAAATAATGATGATTGTCGAATATTCAAAATTAAATGAAACTAAAGCAAACTGACTCCTCGTCCATTGGGCGAATTATTATGCAACCTTGGTCCAATTCCTTATTAAGGTTTTTCTTCCTTCCTAACAAAAGCCTCCTCCTCCGAAATCTAATAGTTCATTTATCCAGGCGTTTCATACATACTCTTAACCATATAATAGGTTCAACATAATATAACGGATTAGACCATATTTACTCAATCTTAGATTGCCCAAATCTATTATATAATATTTGATGACCTTGGGGTCAAATTAACATGACCTTACAAAATAAACAAGTCACACTGTAATTCAATTCCCTCACATCAAAGAACGAAGTGTTTAAAGTAAAATCTGAATTTCGCGCTTTCGCACATTTCCTCTTATGCCCGCCAAAACAGACCAATAGATTCGATTTATTTGAGGCGACAATTCTAATGTGTACGGAAAGTAAAGCACGTGATTTTTAAACAGTAGCCAAGGTATTACTATTAATTGTCAGATAGAATAACTACAAAATGTCAGATTAATGAGGAATTATTCTTGGTTTTTCTGATAGAGTACAGTTAGGTAGACTCTAGAAAAATTTCCGCCATGATTCTGGCTTGGGGAAAATTTTTACAGTCTCCTGAAGTTTAGTCTCACGCGCCCGCTTGTGACGAAAGATCATAAAGTCAAAATGTGCTTAAACCAAGACATTTCTCATTAGAAACTTCTTTTTTCAGGTTTGGTAGACTGATATAAGTCATGAAAAAAGTCATCAAAAATCGTTGATCGTTCCGGCAATCCAAAATGACGTCCAAAAGGGCCATCATATCCTGGGTTTCTTATAACTTTCCACTAGAAAACATAAATACAATATTTAAATTTATGCGTATATGATTTTCAGCTTTAGGAAGTCAGTAATATACTTCTTGATAAATTTTGAAAGACATTAGAGCTAAAAAAAAAAGATTTCCCAAAATCCAATATGTTCATTTCCATGTATATTTACGGTTATAGATACGATAGAAATATAATCAAATGTCTAGATTAGAATAGCACCATTTAAATACGTATTAGTAAAAGAAAACAACTCAAACTACCCCTCGCCCCCTAAATCTCTGACTGACATCCAATAGACAACATTTGCAACAATAACTTCATAATCATAACCATCTGAAGAGGTTTTTAAACTAGCGTTCAACTCAGAGAGATGGTAAGGGATAGGGGAATATTTATATCACCATGTCACATGCATGCCCTAGCCCACTTTGTTAATCCTATATTCTCATTTCCCAAGCAGATGTGTGATTAATAAAGTTTCCAATGTCGGGGACCCCTGTAACTCTATGATTGTTTGAGTTTCTAAATTTCTAGTCATATTATTGTTAACCTGTTAATACCTTGAAAATATTTGGAAACTATTGTTAATTCCATAGAAACTATTGGGTACATTGTGAAAAATAAATGAATCCATCGTTTGGTATGAAAACTGAAGAGACCATTCAACAGTTACTGATGAGGCAGCGGAAAACAACTGGAGGAATGACTCATGGACGTGAAATCACAAACAGTACATTGACAAAATAGGTTCATGTAACTGACCAAATGCGCTATAACAAAGAAGTGGAAGTGTTGTGGTACCGTTGCGGTACTCTGCACTGAATGGGCAAAACACGAAGTATCACACTTGACGCCAAAAAAAAGAAAGACGTGTAGTTGGGACATCACTTTCCTGTGTAGCTTTGAGGTAAAGAAATATTAGGTTAAGCACATAGATTTTATTGTCTTTAAATGGTAGCAGTTCTAGCTACTGTAACTTTAATCTTAAGATTTTTTCCCCAAAATCTACAATTTTGCTGAGGGGATTTAAAGCTGATCGAGATCCAGAAATATTGAGGCTGACAAATTTTGATATTAAGTGTTTTTCAATAGTTAATTGCATATTTATGAATACTTACTAAGTTTTTTGGATTTATCGGATTAAATTAGGATCCTGTTATGTTATTTATGAGACCAGGTATATCTACTGGCTCTTGTTCGACTAGTTTAAATTTCTTAAATTTTATGTTAATTCTAAGACGTAGTATCACTTTAAATAAGCATCGGCGCAAAAGACTCGCTAGGCATAACCATCAATTCTTCAATGGAATTCGCAATCAATCAGTTTTAGGTCATTAAAGCGGGTTCTCAACATATTTTTTAGTTTTGCCAAAGTATTGGACGATGCATTTTTTATACGCCCACACGTAAGATGGGCGTATATTGTAATCACTCCGTCCGTCCGTTCACATTTGGCTCGTGCTCACTCTACAGGCTACAGTTCTTTATGGATTCTTTTGATTTTTATTGTGTATGTCAATGTTGTTATGAAGATGATCCCTATTGATTTTCGTGATGATCGGATAATTTTTCACCGAAATATCGTGTCTGACTTGACGTTTTTCTCTATTAGCTATATTGTGCAACTCGTGCTCACTCTACAGGCTACAATTTTTTACAAATTCTTTTGATTTTTATTTTGTGTGTCAATGTCTTTATGAAGATGATCCCTATTGATTTTCGTGATGATCGGATAATTTTTCACCGAAATATCGTGTCTGACTTGACGTTTTACTCTATTAGCTATATTGTGCAACTTGTGCTCACTCTACAAGCTACAATTCTTTACATTCTTAGATTCTTTTGATTTTGTGTGTCAATGTCATTATGAAGATGGTAAATATATCGAATTTCATAATACTTACAATCAAAGCTATCTGTGGCAAGCTATAATTAAATTTTTGCTGTTTTTTTTTTGTTTGTTTTGAAAAGAATGAGAAATAGGTTCGTGATCGCAGGTACGACATTCAGACATTCCACGCGGACTTTTACGTTTTTTCTTTTGGGACATCGTTTTCATTCTGAAAAAGTGAGACTGTCATGTAACCGACAATATATTTTGACACACACAAACACTCAGAACATGTTAACCACCGTTATTGTACGAAATTCGACCCAAAAATAGGCACCTCTTTGTGTGATACCATAACTTAAATCGATAGTTTTTGTTTATGTTCAGTATTTAGCCCCAGTATTAGCATGTTCGAATTTTGCCGATCTTTCGATGGACGTTTTTGAGTTATCGCTCTTGACTTAGGAAAAAAAGGCGTTTGTTTTTTACCACAATAGAGACAACAGTTTTTATCCGATTTAAATTTGGTGTGATCATTTATTATGAGATCTTAATCACGATTTTTCGATCAACGGAATTTGAGTTATTGCCCTTGACTTAGTAAACACGCATCAAAATCTGTTGGCTTGTTAACGCGATAGAGGTGACAGTTTATGTCAGAACTTTTTTTAATTTTGTTTTCGATTAAATCAACAATATTATGCACAAATGATTTTTGGTATGATTTGACACAGATTGGTGACCGCCCTTAATATACTGAAAAGTGGGCGTATCTTGCTAAGCAAATGTTTGACGAAAAAAAAACATTTCCGATTTTTCACTGATATTTTTTGTTTATTTTTAGGTTATGT